GCGAAGGGAGCTAGCTGGTGGTCTGTAGGCTGTGTTTGCTAGGCTGCGGATATAGTAGGCTACCTTAGCCGCCTTTGCATTGTGCGTGGCTACATACTGCTTAAAGGTAAGTTTACAGTTAAACTAGATCCCTAGCTATTAGAGGGCTTGCTAGGTTCTTAACATGTTTAGCAAGATTAGATTAATTGTGTAATGCTTGTCTACCACACAGGGGGGTGCATAGCTGCTCTTCTGTTAAGTAAGGTAGATTATTTCTTGTTTTTCTAGGGCAAAGGTGACCTTGTTAGCTGTGCCCTATGCTCTAATCTGTTGTAGGTCTGCTGCTAGGAGCTTAACATTCTTATCTAGGGAGTGTAAGGCTTAGTATAAGTATATGTCATCTGCGTATCTAAATCTCTTCTTTGTGTCTATAGACAGCAGCTCTGCTAGATCCAGTGTGTACAGGATTAGGGAGAGGGGTGAGCCCTGCGGCGTGCCGCAAGTGACTAGGCGGCTAGGGGTAGTGGCTTAGCCTAGGCGTACTTAGACCCTTTAATTAGTAAGGAGAGAGTTAACAAAGAGGATAGTCCTTTGTAGCTAGCCCTATTAGGCTATCTAGTGCAGAAGGCAGTTCTTAAGGAGAGTATTAAAGGCGCCTTACACATCTAATATTACTATTGTAACGTGCTGGCCTTTAGCCTACGCAGCTTCTGTGTTATAAGTAAATGCTGTAGTAAGATCTACAGCAGAGCGCTTTAGGAGGGCGCCTCTATGTTAGGGGCTAAGGATCTTGTAGGTTATAGCAGTCTACGCTATTCTTCTAGCCACTGTCCTTTTAAGTCCTTTTCTAATGCAGGAGAGGAGTGCTATAGGTCTTTAGGATTAGGGTGACGTCTAGTCTTTCTTTCCTGCCTTAGGTATTATAGCTACCTCTGTGAGCTTCTACTAGCCTAGGAAGTAGTTTAGTTAAAGTTATTGCTGAAAGATCTGTTGTATAAGTTCTCTAACCTGAGCCTAGCAGGCGCAGAGCAGTCGCACTGTAGAGTGGTCAGTTCCTAGCAATGTGCTGGAGACCCCTATTGTATTTCGCTCAGCTTCCTCTAGTGAGATGTGTGTGCTCCAAGGGAGAGACGCTCTTGCTTCCTGCTCTGGTTAGTGGCTGAGGTCGTCTTCTACTGTGTAGCATTTAAGGATTTCCTCTCAGAGTACCTCTGCCTTCTCTAGGGGGTTAGATATTGTTTTGCTATCTATTATAAGAGGGGTGTCCTAGTAGTTTAGTGTAAGCTTATGCTAGGCAATTACCTTAAACAGATCCTTGCTGTCCTTAGTATTATTAATAATATATCTCTAGTATTGCCTTTTAGCCTATTAGACTATTGTCTTAAAGGCTTGTGTTTCCTCTAGTAGGGCGCTGCTATAGTAGTGTTGTCTAGCGTGTTTGTAGGCTTGGTAGGCTGTCTTGCACTACTTAGTCTACCACAGTGCAGCGCGTCCTTGCTTGTAGTCTAGCTTGCCTGCTGTCTGTATAGAGTGCTGGAATGCCTCTATTAGCAGCACAACGCATCTGTCAAGCTGTGCTATGTTATAAGCCCTAAGCAGGTCTAGGATATTCTAGACGCCTATCTTAATAAGCCCTGTAAACTTAGGTAGGCCTGCTTCTGCAACTTAGTAGTGGTGCTAATCTAGGTGCTGCATGTCCCTTGTAGAGGTAGGGACATAGGTTACTATTGTCTTGTAGTCTGATCCGCTGTGCATGCTCGCATCTACTCGGGACTGTGCGAATGGGACATTGGAGAAGGTAAGGTCAATGACCTGGCCAGCTTGGTGTGTTGGCTGTCCTGGGATGCCAATGTAGTCCATAGAGGCAGCAGCAGCCCATCTAGCTAGCTCGGCACCCCCGTTGGCTGCGCTGGCGGTAGGATTAAAGGACTCATGCTTAGCGTTGAAGTCACCCCCTATAAGGCATTGTTGAGGAGGTGCGAGATGCGTAACGTATTAGATTACGCTAGGGGTGTATAGCTGTCTGTAACAGTTAAGGATTAAGACACTATTTACAATAGCCTACAGCAGATCTAGGTGATTAAGGCTTTTTCTAGCCTAGAGTTTTAGGTGGTGCCCTTTGCATATATAGGTTATCACCCTAGGGCAGACTAAGCCTAGTGTGTTAGGGGCATCCTAGGTGCTAATAGGTGTGAGGTGTCTGTAGCCTAGGTAGGTAGAGGTTCTTAAGTTAGCACTGGTGAAGGGTTCTTAGACGCATACTACGTCTATGTCCTTCTGAAAGGCCACTTCTAGTATAGTAATGTGGCAGGGGGAGCTTCTGCCAACGTTGGCCTAGCATACACAGAGTTAGTTTCTCTGCTTGCTTGGCTTTTGTTGCCTATTGTGGGCAGAGGTAGTGTGTTAGTGTCCTAGTATGTAGATAGTAGATCCTTGCTTATGCTAGTGTCCTACCTCTCTAAGGTGGAGGTGTTAGTGTAGATACTTAATTATAGGCGCATACTGTTAGCAGACATGTCCCTTACATTCAGGTTTGCACAGCCTGCAGCAGCCTGTCTTAGTCTCTTTTCCCTGCTAGTAGGTAAGGATGCTTAAGAGACGCTGCTTATTTTAGTTATAGCTACCCTACTCTCTTCCTCTAGTGCTTGCCTTTAGAGAGGAGAGTAGGGAGCTAGGATCTCTTAGGTGGCCTCTAGGGGGGTATCCTTGTGCTGCAACGTCACTTAGTTAAGGGTTTCTTCTATAGTCCTGTAGAGATGCTAGTATGTTGCTCTGCCTATATAGCAGATAGAGTTTAGTTTAGTCTTAGTGGGCTTAATTATGTGTCTATGCGCCTAGTAAGGGGCTGCAGGACAGTTGGAGTGACTAGCTAGGTGAGGGCTATAGCAGTTAGCACACTTGGCTTTATGAGGGCAGCTGTCCCTATAGAGCCCTTGGTGTCTATCTGTGTAGTCCCCACAGTGTCCACAGCGGGCTACTCTAGTGCAGCAGGCGGCGTTGCAGTATTGTTGGCAGCCTAGATTATGTCGCTGTATAGTTGGTTGTTTATGAATTTCTTTAGAGAATTGGCTAGTGCCAAAGAGCTAGAATAAGCAGACTAGCTCCTTGTATAATACAATCTAGGTAGTTAGGCCATTCTAGTTGGCCCTGTGTTGTAAGGTTCTGCAGCTAACTAGCTGCTTGCCTGTTTGTAAGCAGACTTCCTCCTCTACTAGCTAGATAGTAGTAGGTAGTTTAGTGCTATCTAGAGTCTAGAAAGAGCTAGGAACTCCTTATACAGCATAGTTAATCTAGTGTTCTAGGGTCCTAATTACATCCCTACCTAGTGCTTTTACTATAAGCTCCTAGTTTTCTTAGGTTAGGAGTTAATCCCTAATTATTTTACTTACAGGCATAATTACCTAGCCTGTGTTAATTAGCAATGCAGTAGGGATGTCTTAAAGGGTAATTCCTTTAATACTCCTATAGACTGCCTGTCTTACTATAAAGAGGGAGGGTTATTGTAATTATACTGCTAGGTTAGAGATTATAACAAAGATTTAATTGTTTTCCTTTAGCTTAGGGGGCGGGCTAGGCTAGGGCCTAGCAGGGTTCAGGGTAGGCTGGCGGAATGGGTATACTCCAACGTCCTTCGTGGGTACCCCCCCAAAACCTTATCAATAATACATGGATTCTAGCAAACTAGGGCTAAAAAGAAAGAGAAAAACCACCTCTACATTTTTGTAGTAGAAGGTTTTGTTATAACTATTAAACTGCACAAGCTAGAGGCTAGAAAATGTTAAAAAAGGGGGGGTACCTAGCAAGCATACCTATTAATAGGTATACTTTGCTAGGTAGTGTTAATAACTTAGCTAATACTAGGCAGAATTAGCTAATTCTTTTTTTATTAGAAGGCGCAATAGTAGGCGCTTCTATTGAATAATAGAATATGTAAGCGTATCTCTGCTAGTTAAGAAGCTATAAGCCAAAACGTAAAAAAGCATACCCTACCCATCCGCCAGCCTAGTTCAGGGGCCTGCTGTTGCCCCTATTCTTTGGCGCTGTGTTTTGGGGGTCTCTGGCTACGTCCGCCCAAGAGCGGCGACCTGATTCTTGGCTCCTAGGGTTGCTTTGATTGGTGTCGCTGCTCCAGCGGGGGCTGGGGGGGGAGTTGCTTCGGGAGAGGGAGGTTAGAGCCTCAACGACTCTCTGCTGCAGCTCTGCAGCAATCCTAGCTTCTTGGGGGTTAGAGTAGCCTTCTGCGTGTTGGTCTACAGCTGCTGCAAAGGCAGTAGTGATAGTGTTCCATAGCTGGGTGATCTGCTGAGTCTCAGTGATGTGGCGTTGGACGGCATCAGAGACTCGAGGTTTAGGAGCGCCCCCACTGGGGAAATGGCTGCTTAGAGGGGGAGCCTGATGATTCAGGACCCTCTGGAGCTGTTCTGTGGCGCGGTTGTTAAGGTGTTGAGGAGACTCAGGGTCTGGGGACCCTGTGTGCTGGGAGGTAGGAGAGGCAGGGGAAGCAGAAAACTCTGCCATCCTCGCAACGCGCCCCTTTGCGCGTCGCGCGAAGGGCGAGAGGGGGGTTAGAAGTGTCCTCAGAGTCGCTGCAGTAGGCCTAGTTAGTTTGCCACGATTTTTGGGGCCTCTAGAAAGGGGACCCAAAAATCAGAAAGTTGGTGTTGTGTGTGAGGTTAAAGAGGCGCTATACCTGTTACCTTAAAGGACCTAAGTATTAACTCCTAAGTAAACATACTAACCTAGGCCTTCTAGAACAGGTAGAAGAAGTAACCCTTCTTAATTATTATTAGTCCTTAGCTATTGTGAAGGTGTGTTATAAGCTCCTTTAAGTACGCAGTTAAGAGAGGCTTAAATATCACTATATTAAGTGGTTAAAGCGTGTAGGTTGAGTAAGGTGGAATAATAGCTAGGAGTATCTTGTTCTAATTGCAGTAGTTAATAAACTCTATTATTAGGTAAGATCTGTGGCTATCAAGGATAAGTAGGCAGTACTTTCTCCTTACTTTCTCGTTAGTGTAGTAATTAAAGACCTGTTTTAACTAGGCAAGGCCTGTATTATTGTTAGTCCACCCTGTAGGTGTTAAGAAAACAAAGGCAGAGTGCTCTCTTGACTGTATTTCCTCTACCTAGCTTGATTAGATAGTGCTGTTGGCAGACTCATAGAGGATGCCTAGAGGTAGTGCTGATCTATCACCGCACACACAGGCTAGCACTGTTATCTAAGCACGATTGCCATCTTAGAGTGTTGCTTCAACCTCTCCCTTATCCCACATACGCCTGCTGAACACGTGCTTTGTTCTAGTAGTAACTCTAATTAGAAAGCCCTTCTCATCTATATTGTATATGTGGCAACTCTCAATCTTGTATTCTGTAATCTTGCGCTGCAGGAGGCTGAAGTAGAGCTCATACTTGGTGTATGAGTCAGCGTTGTGGCGATTAGAGTCTATAACCGTTGAGTATTGAGAGATGAGATGGATAGAGTTGTTGTTGATGAAGCGAGTAACCCAGCTCTCACTCACTAGCTCCTGGGCAACTGCTGATGCAAAATTGGCAATCATCTCCCTTGTAGGGGGTATATGACGAGCAGTAAGCTTGTCTATATATATTACAAGCTCCTTCTCTTGTTGTGGGGTAAGCTTTTGTTGTGCAATTGCCTTCTCTTCTTGCGATTGCGTCTTGCCCCTCTACATCGGGAAAAGTTTTTCCGTTGTCGAAATCAGGAAATCGTGGCATTGTACTGTGGGCAACAGTAGGACTTATAGGCCTACAACAGTCATTTAATGTGCATTCAATGTCTAGCTAATTTTAAGCCAACAGCTCTAACAGCCCTAACAGCTGCAATAGCCACAACAACTCCTAATCCTGCTACAATAGTAGCTCTGCTTAATAAACTATACTTTTATTATATTAATATACTACTAAGTCTCCTCTTTAAAATAAGCTATTAAATAATATTATAGGCCTAGTAACAGAATAGTTATTAAGCGTAGAAGGTTTTAAGCTTAATGTTCCTTGCTAAGACACTAAGTTAAGATTCTTTGCTAGGGCTCTAGCAGCCTGAATGTTAGAAAATATAAGAATATTATTCAAGAATAGTAGGTAAACCAAGAATTCTACGCCTAGGCCTGCCTGTTCTGCAAGCTCCTGTTGCGCTGCTGCTGTATGTGTGTGTGTGTGTGTGTGTTGGTCAGCAGGTGCTATGCTGTATGCTGTTGCAGCTGCTATGTTGTGTGCGGGCGCAGCTGCAGCTGCTGTGGTGTGCTGTCGCAACTTCAAAACACTAACCTTCAACAAACAAACCTTCAACGCTCTATAACTCGCGTTGTAGTAGGCCTACAACAATAATTTTTCGCTCCTTTTAAAGCTACAATTTCGCTCTATCTGTACGTGAAATTTCGCAATTTTTGAATATTTAATACTAGTGCTAGCACTAAGGGTAGCTATGCAACAACGTTGTAACGTTATTTTAAGTTTATTAAATATAGGCACTTAGTGTTTTAGCTGTTAGCAACGTTGGCGCGAAATTGGGGCTGTTGGGCGCAAATTAGGGCCGTTGGGGCCGTTGAACGGCCGTTGCACGACCATGCCACGACTGTCAGCAACGGCCGGTCTAGGCCGGATTTCGAAAAACTTTTCCCGATGTACTTGCGCGTTAACGTTAACCGCACAACGCCATGCTTTTCTGCTATTTTAGACCACAGAATGTTATCTTCAGATGCAAAAGTACCATACTCTGTAAGCGTTTCTCGTAATCCCATTGCGTTGTGTTGTTGTAGAGCTGAGATAAAGGAGGTGTTTTGGTGGTTCGGCGCATTACGCGAATCCGCGCATTACGCGCACGGACACGGTAAAGACCCGTTGATCGCATGATCCCTGCCAATCACAGCACACAAACAGCTCAGACACAACACACAAGGCCAAGGGTGCGATGCAAGGTCTCCCGAGGCCATTAGCGTCAGCGACATGACAGACGTGGACAAGGATTGTCAGCACTAGCGTTGCGGTTTTCCCGACACGGCCCGAGTCCGCGTGTAGCTCAACATCATGTTTTTGGTGGGGTCGAACAGCGATATCGTGACAAACCACCCTATCAGGCAGCACGTACCGTACAAGATGCCACGGCTGCCAGACAGAGCTTCAGCAGAGGAAGCCCGCGCTACTGCAGGCTTCTCAGAAATGGAATGGAGAAGTTTTATTGTCCGGTTCTATCATCATCGTGTTTCTCCTCACAGAGTCTGACAAGGCTCAGGACATCACAAAAGACATAGCGCGCGAAATGCGGGAAACAACACCGGATATACGATGGCGTCGTGTACCATTCAACGAGAAATGTTCGGTCATGGAACGCGTAAACTCCCTACTGAGTAAAGAGGGCATCCCTGCCGTGGAGATAGACCTTGTCGGGTGGCGCATGAGCAGGGCTATTGGAAATCTGAAGCACTCGGAAGGTTAGTAATTGCGGTCATCCCTGAGTCTCGGGTTCTTATCAACTCTAGGCCGGGCCGCTAAGGTTACCACCCCCTTACCAGCCACCCGCAGTGCAGCCCCGGCTAGTTTTGTCGCTGAGCCCACATCAAGTGCTGCGAGCGAGGACTGTACTAGCCGCCCTTTTGATCCAATTCGCGATCTTTAGACTTAAGTCTTCCAACTTTGATGGCAAGTGGAGGAAGCGCTATTCATAGAAGTTGCAATGCGCTTGGTATGTGAAAGAAACGATGAGTTGCCTACCCTGCTAGCTCCTTAGCTTATTTGTATCCCATGCGTATGCTGGAGGTGTAGGGTGAAATCCCGCATGCCCATGTCCTGCCCCTTGCATGTCTGGTGGGGACACTGCACTGAGCCCGCTGTCTATCATGATAGGTCCGTACGTAATGCTCGGCTCCTTAACATGTTGAAGCACATGCATTCTCAAACCCATCTCGCTATTCCTCCAGACGCCACACTGGAAACAGAAACTTGCTCTGGCCGGAATAGTTGCTGTTGTATATTCGTCGTGACACATCGAAAGATGCTGTTGCAGATCAGCTCTGCTTGTCGCCATGTAATCATAGTCATTCCAATGACAACGCGAGGTCACATCAAGGACATGCTCACTTATGTGAGCGGCTGCGGCGTGTGAAGTTGGGTGCATAAGGTCTACACAGCCGTTCCACTTGCATGTCCAGTTTGCGTCGTGCAGTCGTTCCGCCAGCTCGAGTTCCGCTAGCTTGGTCTTTTGCATGTGCGTGCATCTCAGTAAGTGATACTTGAAAGGAATGCTTATTTTGTTAGCTCTTGCATGAGCAGATGACTGCTGTCCATACTTAAAGAGCGAGGCGAGTGGCACAATGCGGGCAGCTCCCGTCTGGCCCCGGACCAGCGTCAGTAAAGAAAGGCTCCGGCGCCGCCACATCTGCAGCCTTTCAGAAAGCTGAGACGGCATCGAAAATCCGACTAGTCGCTGGGCGCTTCCCGTAAAGACAGGAGATGATATCTCGTCTCGATTCATTATATTTGAGTTGACCGGCGACTGCATTGGGGATAACGTGGGCTCGAGGCTCAGTGCATGAAGGCCCGTTAGCGTCAGTGCTTTGCAAAGCCAGAGAGTAAGCGGCAAGCTCGTTTTGGAGGAGCTCGAACACAATCCGGCCCTGGCATTCGCCAATGATGATGGGCCAAGATCGCCGAGGGAGGGGATTAGAGATACTTGATTCATCTGAGGTGACGCAATGGCTCATGCCTCGGAAATGTCAGCTCATAAACTAGCCGTCCAGGTATAGGCTCATACGCCATGGTGCGGCTCCCGCCAGCTTCGATACCACAGACCGTTCAGTATTTGACTGCCCATGCATGACACTCATCCAACAGTCATGCGCTCCAAGCAGGGTGTCAAGAGCTCCTTTCTGCAATGTCAAGTATTGCTGAGAAGTTAAACTCCATGACTCGAGATGAGGAGGCAAAAAACTTCCTGGCGCTACTAAGTCAGCTCGGGGAGCAAGTTTCCATACATGGGGACATGCAGGTAGAGCTCTGCGGCCTGGGTCAAGAGAAAGCTGTTGTAAAGATTCAGGGGAAGATATGCATGATAGATGTTAGAAGACTGACCAAGATCTCGAGGCAAATTTAATATACTGTGTCCTATTACAAGCCCGGTTTCCCCACAGTCGACAAGAATTGATGTGAAATTGAGCATTTGTATGTTCGTCAGAACACTTCTTAGGATTATCGGGGCACAAATAAGGAATGTATGATATCGTTGGCTACAATCCACTCTTCCGTAAACGACGCATTTTGCATTCGTAAGTGGCTGCAGGTGTGGGCCACATGCAGGTTCGTGATGACAATCAGCAAACCGTGCATAAATCGGGCCTGCGCATGATGCCATGGCGAAACAACATCCTTACCGTGGGCGCCCCAGGTAGCTCCTTGTAATTGGCTCTGATAGTCGAGACTTAGTCAGTCGTGCTCGTATCTAAGAGCCACTTCCGTCTCGAATCCTGCACTTTATGATACACAATAGTTATCTACTATTCCAAGCGAAGGACCTTCATCGGTGTTGTACCATGTTCCCTTTTCTTAATCATTTTGATCCGGCAAGATTCATTCCCTAAGCACTCTCAAGGCGGCGGCCACGAGTACAACGGAGCCGGTCCGACGTTCTCAATCCATTGGAAGCTTGAGGTAAGCACTTCTGCAACCTGCCCAGATGGAGGCCACCCAACTCAGTGTGTCCCACTTGCCCGGGTTCCACGAACGCGCAGCAAGACAACCAGGTGTCGCCAATCTACCGGGTCTTCGAGCTCACCAAACACGGCAATCTGTCCAGAAGCATCTAATCAAGTGACGAGTGCTGGAAAAGAAGTCACTTCGGGGAAAGAAATCGTGATGAGATGCATTCAAGCTGTTGCACACGCTCCTCGACGAGATGACACCGCGATTCGGAGTGTAAATCGCGTTGATACTAACCTAAACTCGCTTAGCTTTAGGGTTCAGGGTTAGGGTTTGTGGCCCGAATCGTTAGGCCCGAATCGCGTAGAACAACAACACCTGCAGATGCCACTTCTTTCAGAGTTCTCCTGAAATCCATTCTCTTCAGAGTGTCGTCGAAGACAAGGTGCACCCACAAATATGTGCAGTGTTCTATCTTAAGCAACTGGTCTTCAAGGCACATCTTGATTTCTTCTGAGAGTTTGTTATCTTTCGAGAATTGTTCTACAAGATGACTTATCACACGATTCACCTCTTGACTGATCTTTTCTGACTCGTCTTCTCCAGGTATATGAATGCGTGGAAAGGCTTCAGACAGACAGCGAAGTCCGGATATGATATGTTCGTATGGGCGGCTCGTAAGCAGAAACTTGACTTTGGCACCGGTGGATCCGCATTTCCGGGCTTGGGCCCTGAGACTTTGCACTAGATCTTCCACTTCAGCGCATTCATCCAGTGCGTCCAAAACGATGGTGATAGAGCCAGCATGTGGATCTTGCACGGCTTCTGTGAAGATGGTCCAGAGCGAGCTGTTCAAACTCACCAGACCATCGCCGTCCTTGTCGAATTGTTTGAGTGCATGCTGAAGAAGATCCGGCTTTTGAGAGAAAAGTTGGTGCAGTAGAGCACAGAGCGCCTCACGTACTGTGTTCTGGACCTGGTCTTTGAAGAAGTAATAGCAAACCGTCGATGACCTTGCTAAATGGTGGTCAATCAGATACTTGGCCAGCACGGATTTTCCACATCCAGGGTCTGCTGACACAAGAAGCGGCCCTGACTCCTTCTCCTTCCATTCTTGGAAATGAGCGTGATCGAGAAACCACATGCATGTGCCTTCCACTCTGCCCGCTATGCGGTCTTTGAGATCCTCGTATGTAGCATCCCCAGTGCTCCTGGTAAGACGAAACAGCTGAAGACACTTTGCTTGTTCCTTGGACAAGCTCCGCTCGTGTGCTTTTTGTTGGTACTCAAGTGACCTCTGGGAGATATCCAGTCCATACTTTGAAATGTTTCTGTGGTCTTCTGCAATTTGATGGACATTCATCATGACTGTAACCTTTAGTCAATTCGGCAAGTCTAGAATGTCTTCAGACTAACCGGACAGGACATCTCTCATCGACTCCTCTGCTGTGCGTAACTTCGCCACATCCGCTGATGGTATCACCGACAGCACCTCCTTCGCGTACGCTGCTGCCGTCCCTGCCGCATACGCCTGCCACCGCTTGTTCTTGTGCAAGTCGGCGTAGTCGCACACCCCGCGCACCACCAGACACGGGAAGCTGTTCATCAGCCCCGCCGCCTCCATCGAAGCACAGCACCCCGCCCAGCTCCGCGCTCAGCTTGTCTCGTACGGCAGCGTTCTTTATCACCTGGTTGCCCGACGCAATCGTGCCGTGGTGCGTCACCACCTCTTGTCTGCGTGGCCCTCTCTCGACTGCATGCTCCGTGCTGCACTTCGCGCACGTTGCTCCTTTTCCTGCATGCTCGTACTCGGCCTCGAAAAGCGTGTCTGACCCAGCAGCTTCGCGAGTGAAGTCCGGCAGGCTGTCAAGCTTCGACAGGTACTCCAGCAGCCTGCTCTTCCCTCGCAGGTTGAGGCAGAGCATCACCGCTGTGAGCTGAGGCCACCGTCTGACAGACCTTTGGCCTCTCGGGCCTTTAACTTCTGGTCTTCAGCTCGGTGGCTCACACAGCCCCCAGCTGCCTGCATGATGTCAGCTGGAAGCGGGCAGGCTGAGCTGTGCCGTCGAATCGACGGTCAGCGCATGCTTCCGCGGACGTGGGCAAGTCGCGTGGGCGCTAGGTACCGAGACCACCGGGTCAATGCACGCGTCGGGTCAATGCACGATTTCCTCACTTTCTCAACACCACAAAATGAAGCTGTACAGCCACGCGCAAAAGCGATGATCGCGAGAAAAGTTGGCGGGATGATGTGTTGATGTATACAAAAGTCCTATGTGAAGGACTAATAATTGCTAGTTGCAGTGCGGCCGCTGCGGGTGGTGACTGTGCGGGAGGGTGGAGGAGCCTCCTCTACAACAACACCACGCCGCGCACGCGCAGAACGGCTCTTTTGTGTACAAACTTGTGCAGGTGCTTTCTGTGATACCTTGCGCTTGCCTGATTAGGATAATTGTATAGATTTAGCAGCGTCGCGCTCTTGCTTTTTGCGCTTGCGATCGGCGGCTTCTTCTGCTCTCCTCTGCCTCGAGGCCTCAAGGCGCGCAGCGTACGCAGCAGAGCGTCTCTCTTTCTCCAACTTGTTGCGTAGCGTTGCAGCAGCTCGCTCCTCGCGTTGATGGTGTTTTGCCACTTCTTCTTCTAGTCTCTTTGTCTCATTGAGCCTGTTGCGATGACGTGCGTCGCGTACTTTGCTGGGGGAGTAGAGGAGGGCTTCGCTGCGTCCCTTCTTCTGTTGGCGTAAGTCAAGAGTCTCCCGCTTCTTCTTTAAGGGGTTTTGTGCAGCAACTGCTGCAGAGAGTCCTTTGTTTTCAGCTGTAAGTATCTCACAAGAAGCAGAGAGGTGGTGGAGAGTACGGCGGAGCTGCCTTGCGTCATCTGAGGTGTTTCTACCCACAACAGCTTTGTACAATTGATTAATTGAGCGCCAATCGTGGGCCTCAATGGGCGGAGGGGTTTCATACTCACTGTCGCTATCATTATCCCATCGGCTGAGTACTACGTTAGGGTTAAGCGGCCATATACCCGTGTTCTCGAAGGCGCTGAGTATGAGCTCTTTGGTGAATGTTTGCTGCCAGGATCGCCAGAAGAGCATAAAGAAGTCGCTCTTAAGCACGCCTGAGATGCCTTGGCTATCGTGAAGGTGCTGGGTGACGGCACTGCTGTAGTTTTGAGCCAACAGAGCGAAGCACACAACGTCGAGCGGCTGCAGCGACTGAGTACTGTGTGGAGGAAAGATCGCTAGCAGAGTCTTGTGCTGATTGCAGAAATTGATAAAGGCCATTGTTATATGAGAGCCGTGGCCATCAATAATAAGCAATCGCCAGCTTCTGCGCGCTTTCTTCTTGGTGTAGCGGTTGAATAACTGCTCCAGCCAGGCAAGCCCCACCTCGTTATTCGTCCAACCTGGAGGAGTTACAGTCACAAATACTGAGTGTTTTCCTGGCTCAATATCCTCCACCCAGGAGCTTTGTATGGTGTTGTCCTTGCCTGTGAAAATGAGACCCGGAGGCAGAGCGCTGCCATCAGCGCAGACGCTCGCCAACAGCGTCACCCACTCTCTATTGCCGTCCTGTAGCGACTGCCTGTTCTTCTGCTTATCGTACAAGCGCTTGCTAAAGATCCTCTTGCTCCTAGCGACGAGACCGATGGCAAAGCCTTTCTTATCTATGTTGTACGTGTTGGCCGCCCTAACGTTGTATTCTTTGATTTTGCTGTGCAGGAGGCTGAAATAGGCCTTTTACTTGTCGCTGTTATCAGCGGCGTGGCGTACTTTGTCCATTGCGGTGGTCCATTTGTAGAGGAGCTTCTTAGTGTGACAGTTAAGGAAGTCAGTAACCTAGGTCTCGCCAACGTGATCTTTGGTGATTTCTGCTGCAAAATTCTTAATTATCTGCCTTGTAGGTGGTAAATGACGCTCAGTAAGCTCCTCTATGTAATCACAGAGGTCAAGCTCTTGTTGTAGTGACAGTTTGCGTTGTTGAAGGTCTGCCTCTACACGTGGAACAGTAACGCGTTGGTCATTGCGTGACAACGTCGACCTTGAGAACCCTGTCTGATCAGCAACTTCTTGGTAGCAAATTTGTCTGTCTAAGCTCGCTGCACGTGCATTTTTAAGTGCGTTAAAAACAGTTAACATTCTGTGGAGTTATGGTGTTGAGGAGAAAAGTGTGTTTTGGTGCTCGCGTGCATTGACCCGGTGGTCTCGGTACATACCGTGCCGGAGCTCGTGCCGCACGGTTCCGCGTTCCGCACGCGATCACCAAAACAACAAAATATCCTTAACACTACAACTTAACAACGCAATAACTTTAGAAGATGCACTTAAAGACACACGCGTAGCTAAAACGCATAGTAAACTTTGCTACTAAAAAATTATAGATGCACATAACGTAGATTATCACCAAGCTGGCCATATCACTGAACTAGCCATTTTCTCTTGGCACAACTAACACAAGTTACTACAACTACAACTACTTGCTATTAAATAGTAACCTAGCATACTGCGTGCTTATATTAGATTTAGAAGATGTTTCTGCACCCTCCTAGCACGTTCGTGCGTTGTGTCTAGTTTTGCTACAGTTCCTACAGCGCTGAATAGTTAACTAAGCTCCTAGTTAACTACCTCTACCCTAAGTCTTCTTAGATGGCTAAGCTGCTACACACGCCTTAGCAGCTACCCGCAATGCTGCTAGGCTATACTTAAGTGTGCCACTATGCTGAATCTACTTTCTCTTACGCAATTTTCTCTTAGTTATTACTGCTAATTGCTCTTTAAGCTCTCACACGCAGGCCTTAATAAGGATATTTTTATATAGTATCTCTTTAGCCCCTTTTATAAGCTTTAAGAACCCCTCTTGCACTATACTTAGTAATTATTAGAAGGAGTTACTTATAAGCTTAGATTAAGACCTAAACTTGTGTGTATTGCTTAGCGTCTTAGATTGCTATAGTATTTTAGGTAGAGGTACTGCTAGTAGGGTATGCAGCTGCACTTTAAGGCAATCTAACACTACCTATATATTAGTAGGAATAAGCCCTAATGCCTTAAAGGCCTTTTAGTAGTTAACCTTTATAAATATATTAAGGAACATGTCCCTAAAGGCTAGTAGAAAGCCTTCCTTATTAATATAGAAGATATATTAGTATGCTAAGTCTTAAACATGTTAGGAGTACTTACGCTTTAATAGTAAGAAATAGACTATGTTAAGTAGCTAGAGGATGTGTAATAAGTAAGGTAGTATATAGAGAGTAAGGATTTAGTTCTCTAGGTAATAGTCCTTAAACTCCTAGTTAAGATAGCTCTTATAGCTGTCTAAGATAAGTAGCCTGTACACTCCTACCTAATATGTCTTTATATGCGTGTTAAAGTGCTTTAACTACTTAAGGCTAAGTATATTATTTATCTAACTATTCTTAGAGACTAAGAGCTTCTAATTATAGGGTATATCTGTCTCCTTATACTAGGCAGAGATGTAGACGCGTCCTTTGTAGATAATAAAAGGTGGGGTTGCATACCTAGCAGCGCAGATGCTCTAGATAACAGTAACCTACTCGCGATCACCTGGCTGAACAAGCTCTGGCTGAGCACGTCTCTCTAAGCCTATTACAACCTTTAAAGACAAAGCAACACCTATCTAGAACCTAGTTTTATTAAAGTTGTGCACGTTATTATTACAAACACTATACTTAACTTAAGTATCCTCTACTAGCTTAAACTACGTGCTAATTATCTTAGGATCTTCCTATAGTATCCTCTGTCTATCCTTAGCTTAATTAAAGGCTATTTTAAGCTTGTCTAAACGCGTTATAAGCCTGCTAGACTATAGTTTGCTAACAGGCTCTTCACCACGCACACTAAGTATCTTATTAGCTATATCTGCTACCTTACATAGCTGGGGCGCAAATCCTCGCGAATTAAGGTTAAGTATATACTAGATAATTGTCTGCTACTCTAGTATAGTAAGTTTCTAGCAATTAGCGCGTATGTCTAGTTAAAACGTGATATTGCAAAGGTAATTAGAGACCTACTAATAAGGTACGTTCAACGCTCTAGCAGCGCTGCAGATACTGCGAAATTAGCTAGCATAGAAGGCCTAGATAGCAAGGATAACTCTGCCTTCTCTAGTAGTATTCTAAAGTTGTTGTTATTAAGGCATGTTGTGTTGGGGTAAAAGGTGGTTGTGCTAAGAGAAAGTGGCTAGTTTGGTGATATGGCTGGCTTGGTGATAATCTACGTTAGTGTTAATTATTTAATATTGTTACAATATTACTAAGGTGTTTGTAGCACTATGCAATAGAAGATTAAATAACAAGAGAACCTCACCCCCTATAAAGAGCTAGAGCTTGTTGATTACATATAGGCTGGCGGATGGGTAGGGTATGCTTTTTTACGTTTTAGCTTATAGCTTCTTAACTAGCAGAGATACGCTTACATAATCTATTATTTAATAGAAGCGCCTAGTATTGCGCCTTCTAATAAAAAAAGAATTAGCTCATTCCACCTAGTATTAACTAAGTTATCAACACTACCTAGCAAAGTATACCTATTAATAGGTATGCTTGCTAGGTACCCCCCCTTTTTTAACCTTTTCTAGCCTCTAGCTTGTGCAGTTTAATAGTTATAACAAAACCCTCTACTATAGAAATGTAGAGGTAGTTTTTCTCTTTCTTTTAAGCCCTATTTTGCTAGAATCCATGTATTACTAACAAAGTTTTGGGGGGTACCCACGAAGGACGTTGGAGTATACCCATTCCGCCAGCCTAATTACATAGATTAACTCTGCAGAGAGCACCTTCCACCTACGCGCGATATGGTTCAACATTTCGCCTCTATTATCTGCGGATTTAAGGTTAGGAAGACCTAGGTTACACGCTTCGTCCAGCGGCATCACGAAGCGCTTACTCCACAGTGGACCTCCGCCATGGCCTCTGAACGTCACGCCGCTAATTCCTATAGTAAGTATAGCTTATACTTTAACATGTTAGAGCTTAAAATAAGTAAGAAGGGTATAGAGCCTAAGCACACATATAATATAGATGAGAAGGGCTTTATAATTAGGAAGATTAGCAATTAGAAATAAGTGTTCAGCAGGACAAGCTACAGCAATAAGCGCTTCTAGCAGGCCTTAGAGGATAGCAACAGAGAGTAGGTAACGCTTATAGCGTGCGTTAGGGCTTCTAGAGTCGCACTTCCTCCAGGCCTGATTATGGCTGGAGACTCCAGCAACGTCCAAGACGCATAGGTGCGAGATATCAAGCAATTGAAGCATCGCTGCTTCGTCACAGTCACCCTAAGTGGCTAGAGCAACAATAACGCTGGCCTTAGATAGCTATAACAAGTCTTTAACAAAGAAACCAAGGCCTTAGCTTGTTGCAAGTAGCAATTGCTTATTATTAACAGTCACAGCAGCTATATAAGCCACTTATTTCTAACATACTGTTATTAATATAAGATACTTGTGGTGATATTTCCTCCCCACAGTACTCACACACTCTAGCTAGCTGACGTTGTCCTCTTCAAGCCACTATTAACAGCGTACTCACAGCAATTAACACGGCAGACTCAGCGCTCTAAAGGCTTGTTGCTAGTGAAGAAAGGCAGCTTCTTCTTATTATTTTGGCCTGCTTGGCTGCAATTGTTTACTAAAGACAACATACTTAAAGCCTTTAAGGCAACAGGCCTTTAGCTACTTAATTATAATAAAGTACTTAAGCGCTTCCCTAAAGGAGCTGCCACTCTGTCTACCCCTCTGCTACCTAAGGCAGGTACAACAGCACGCAAAATAATAAGGAAGTTAGACTCTGTTGTGGGCAATAGGTACTCTAATAAAGCAAGAGCTCTCTGCCACAAGGTACACCACCTTATAATTAAGAATAAGCTGCTTAACAATAACATATAAGGCCTTACAGAGTTACTTTTAATTAAGAAGAAGCAGGATAAGAAAAGTAAAGCACTTACTTTAGTTAAGCTATTATTAGACTACTAGGGTGGCGTGAAGTAGCGGTTGCCTTAATTATTTAAGGAAGCCCGCCACAGAGAGCAGATTATGAAGGAGACCACGCATATAGAGAAGCTTGAAAAGGCTAATATTAAAGAGCTTAAAGCTGCTAATAAGCTATACAACAACAAGATTAAAGAACAGAAGTGCGAGGCGGCTGCTGCAGCGAAGGAAGTGCGTGACTGCAAGTGCGCAGAGGAACGCGTAGCAATCAATGCTTGCAAAGCTCAAAGACTCAAGGATAAACAAGCTTGCAACGCTTAAAAAGCCAGCTTATTGCCTAACAAAGGCAAGCGCAAAGCTTCAAAAGCACCTTAGGCACCTGCAGCCAAAAAGCGTCGTTCTGCGCAGCCTCGAAGTGGTGCTGTTGCTGCAGCAGCTGCTCCGCCTCGCGGCACTCACACAACCCACAGCGGCTGCACTGCAACATTATATAAATAGTGCTTTTAGCAAATAAATTGCATATATTAATTAACTATAATACTAACAAACCTCGTGATAATTACTATTGTGGCTGTTTCTACAGCCTCATTTTGCTATGGTGCGTGAGGTGGGTGCTGCGTGCGGAACGCGAAACCGTGCGGCACGAGCTCCGGCACGGTAGGGTCTAAATAGAAATAGATTAACGTAGATTATCACCGAGCCGGCCATATCACTGAACCGGCCACTTTCTCTTAGCACGACCACCTTTTACCCTAACACAACATGCCTTAATAACAATAACTTTAAAATACTACTAGAGAAGGTAGAGTTATCCTTGCTATCTAGGCCTTCTATGCTAGCTAATTTCGCAGTATCTATAGCACTGCTAGAGCGTTGAACGTACCTTATTAGCAGGTCTCTAATTGCCTTTGTAATATTACATTTTAACTAGATATATATGCTAATTGCTAGAAACTTACTATACTAGAGGAGCAGACAATTATCTAGTATATACTTAACCTTAATTCGCAAGGATTTGCGCCCTAGCTATGTAAGGTGGCAGATATAGCTAATAAGATACTTAGTGTGCGTGGTGAAGAGCCTATTAGCAAACTATAGGCTAGTAGGCTTATAACACGTTTAGACAAGCTTAAAATAGCCTTTAATTAAGCTAAGGATAGACAGAGGATACTATAGGAAGATCCTAAGATAATTAGCACGTAGTTTAAGCTAGTAGAGGATACTTAAGTTAAGTATAGTGTTTGCAACAATAATATATACAACTTTAATAAAACTAGGTTCTAGATAGGTGTTGCTTTATCTTTAAAGGTTGTAACAGGCTTAGAGAGACGTGCTTAGCCAGAGCTTGTTTAGCCAGGTGATCGCGAGTGGGTTACTGTTATCTAGAGCATCTGCGCTGCTAGGTATGCAACCCTACCTTTTATTATCTACAAAGGACGCGTCCACATCTCTGCCTAGTATAAGGAGATAGATATACCCTATAATTAGAAGCTCTTAGTCTCTAAGAATAGTTAGACAAATAACGCGCTTAGCCTTAAGTAGTTAAAGCACTTTAACATGTATATAAAGACATATTAGGTAGGAGTGTATAGGTTGCTTATCTTAGATAGCTATAAGAGC